GAGAAAACAACTACACAGAAAATTGGCTGAGAAAACAGAAGGCCTGAACAACACCATGAAGCAACTAGACCTGACAGACATGATTGGGACCCTCCACACAACAGCAGCAGGATACATCCTTCAAACCAAGTGCACACGGAATATTCTCCAGGACAGACCGTATGTTAAACCATAAAACAAGTCTCCATAAATTTTAAAGGATTTATTAAAGCATCCAAAGTCTGATCTCTAACCATAATGCCATGAGATTAAAAATCAATAATTGAAGGACATTTGGGGAATTCACAAATATTTGGATTTTAAACAACAAACTCCTAAATGACCAACTAACCAAAGAAGAAATCACAAAGGAAATTAGAAGATATTCTGAGATGAATTAAAACACATATACCAATCCAAACCAAACCAAACCAAACCACCACAAACTCCAAAACTCAGGACTTAAAACTTAGGATGCAGTGAAAGCAATGCTTAGAGGGAAATTTAGAACCGTCAATGCCCACATTAAAAAGGCAGGAAGATCTCAAATCAAAAATTTAAACTTCCACCTTAAGAAACTACAGGGGAGAGAAAGAGCAAACTAAACCTGAAGCAAGGAGGAAGGAAATATTAAGGACTAGAGCAAAAAACCCAAACGATCACTCTTACTGCCTTTTCAACTCTAGTACAAGGCAAAAGTGGAAAAGCTAAACTTTATTTATTTTTAAATTTATTTATTTATTTATTTATTTATTTATTTATTTATTTATTTAAGTAATCTCTGCACCCAACACGGGGCTCAAACTCATGACCCCAAGATCAAGAGTCACATGCTCCACTGACTGAGCCAGCCAGGCACTCGTGAACTTTAGATTTAAATGCATTAATGAGTTAACTTAAAAATGCCTATCTTACTGCCAAAGATAAATGAGCTGGCTATACAAGGTGTCACTGCCTATTTCCTATCTAGGTTTAAGGAACACTCAAAAGCATTTTATTCATAATGCAGGGTAGAAGTTTAAGTGATATAAAAATTTTTAAACGCTAAGTATTTATGTTAATCAAACGCCTAAATTTGCTAGCCTGGTATTAATAGATGACATTAGCTTAAAATGAATGCCTTGATTACTTCTTTAACAGTCAGCATCTTCTCTCTCTCTCCATCCCTCAATGCCACCTATTCCAAGTCTGCCCTTTTCTCATCTATGCAACAGCAATGCCCTTCCAATAAACATAGTAGAAGTATACCTCCTTTGGCCAATCCTGAAAGAGCCCCTGAGCTATTTTACTTTAGACACACCTAATTTTTTCACATAATATTGATAAAAATCTGTTAATGAGATTTGAGTGTTACAAGTAAACACACTGGGGAGAAATAAAAGGCCCCTTCTACACCTTTCCTTCCACGTGCAATTAGCATAATCTGTCAGGGATTAAGAAATTACCAAATACCTACTTACAAAACTGACAACTAGTAACTAATGATTCATAATGTCCAAATTGAAAACAATACGGAATAATAGGGTCATGGCTAACTAAATGACAAAACATCCCCTGAAGGGGGAAACTCACATTTATAAAGAATTTATAGCACCTAAAGTAGCTTTATAATTTTCCTTTTTCTCCACAGCAGTCTAGATAAAGACACTGGGATCCAAAGAGGTTATATCTATACTGAAGATAACACAGCCTGTAAGAGTCAACGGGGTCTCTATTTAGTCTTCGTGATTCCAAATGTATCTACTAAACTATGACACAGCCGTATATAAAAGGCTTATGAAGCATCATGGAGATTACTTATACTCGTCCCAGTAGTAAAATGGCATATAAAATTGTATACTACAATCTTAAAGGTGGATATACTTCTAAGGGGATTTGGCAAAATAAAAACAGATGATATACTGGGGTAGGAGGAATGCGATTTTTCATTAGTCATAATATGATTCTTATTATTTACACAAACAATAAAAATTTGAATTAGTTTACCTATCAGACATATAGCCAGGGGAAGTTAAAATAAAAACAAACAAAACACCTCACAGAACTAAGAACCATAAAGCCAGAGTTCCAGGTACAAAACTGGCAAGTGCAAACTTTTTACAACAAAAGATGCAGAGGTGAGTTTCAAAAAATTATCTAGAAAGTCAGCCAATCAGTCAGTTAAGCATCGGACTCTCAATTTTGGCTCAGGTCATGATTTTGCGGTTCGTGGGATGAGCTCTATGTCAGGCTCTGAGCTCACAGGACGGAGCCTGCATGGAATTCTCTCTCTCTCTCTCAAATTAAATAAATAGCCAAATGAGCATGAGGATGAAAGGGGAAATCCAATCTTATACTTGCATAGCCTTCTGAATGTTTCAAAATGCTAAATTACCTAATGATTTAAGTGTGAAGACTGAGGTCTGGAGAGGTTAAATGAAGAGCCAAAGTTTCATGGCTAGCAAATTCAAATTAACACCTAAACTCCCGCTTATACCATAGCACAGTGATGTTCAACCCTTTAAAGTATAAGGACTTAACATTTTTCATAAAGAATTTCATATTCATACCAGAATAGGCAAATCTATAGGAAGGGAAAACAGATTAGTGGTTGCAGGGGCTGAGGCGGGGAGAGGGAAATGAGGAGTGGCTGCTGGATGGGCTCTGGGTTTCCATTTCCGATGACGGATGCATGACACTGAATGTACTCAATGTGACCGACCTGTCAATTTTAAATGGTTAAATAGTGTAAACTGTACACTATTTGCCACAATGAAAAAGTCTTACAGACACAGTCACAGGTATGCTTTTAGGAGACAGTGATTACAGACATCTTAAAAGATTACAAACTTTGTAAATTTTTATTTCTTAATTGTCCTATTCATCCTTCCAATTTCTGGGATCTGTTTTTATTTTTTTAAGTTTATTTACTTGTTTTGAGAGAAAAGAGAGAGAGAAAGAAAGATATAATCCAAAGCAGGCTCTGCACCCTCAGCGCAGAGCCCGATGCGGGGCTCAAACCCATGAACCGTGAATTAATGACCTGAGCTGAAGTCAAATGATTAACAAACTGAGCCACCCAGGCGCCCCTCTGGGATGTGTTAAAAGGCTACTGAATCTTAAAATTCAGTACTGCCTTAAATTACTATTTTATTAACCACAGCAGCAACACACTCTTAAGACATTTAGTCTACAATGTTTGAAGCACATACCTGATTTCTTTTAAGTTCCCAAGAAGGTCATGACCCTCAAACTGGGAATCACTAATCTATGTTCCTTCTTAAACACACACAACAAAAAAAACTCTTCCTGCCTCGTAAGGGGCTTCCAAAACGGATCCTTCAATGAGATAACCATACAGATGCTATCCAACCTTGGAGATTTCAGAGGGCCAGAGCATTAGACTTTATTTTCTTTACAGAAGTACTGTAATGCATTTCAGACTACCCTCCTCCTTAAAATTAACTGGCCACCTAAAGTATTTTATAAATTTCCTATAATCTCCTTACAGTACATTTTAAATCGTTTCTGTAAGGGTAAAAATAAAATAAAACCAACATATTTAGCAACTGTTTACTATACGCATGTCATTGTAAAAAATATAAAGAAATTCTGAATGGTCTCTATCCCTAAAGGAACCTGAAATATAGTTAGAAATATAATTTCACGAAAACCCAACTACCATCAACTACTTCAATGATAGTTTAAGACATGAAAGGAAGCACATAGCAACATATATTGATTACTTCTGAAAGGAACAGAAGATAAAAACTGCGACAGGAGTTCAGAGAAGGGAGTGTTTATTCCGGTCTATAGGGGTATGAAAAGGCTCTCCAGGAGAACTGGATTTTAAATGAGGTGCATCTTGGAGAGCAAGCAAGATTTGGGGAAGTGAGGCAAAAAAAGAGAGGATGAGAACATCCCTCATTAAGCTTCATTTCATTCGCTATTGCCTACTGAATTCTCATTCTGTGTAAGGTACCAAAAATGCAAAGACAAGGCGCTCTGTTGACCCTTGATCAAATTTCCTCCTGAAGTCCTGAAATCCTTCAAAACAGATCACACGGTACAATTAATTATACCGAAATCCCCACCAGGGGAAACAAATGAGACTGGCGAATTTCTGAAGACCATCATTTTAAAATACATCACAACTTAATCTGAATGCACCCTTCCCAAGAGGTAAATCTCACATATTACAATAAATCCAAAGTATCCTCTTACAAGCTTTCTGTAAGAAATCCCTTTTCAGAAGTGTGTGTATTTCCCAATTAATACCACCACTAGAAAAGAGAGAGGCACTTGCCCAGTGAACACAGTTTGGATAGAGAATAAAGGCCAGGGCTAGATATCAATAACGCCCATCACTTCTGCCCCAAGACTTGTAAAGAGGATCCGAAGTCTCTCCACTTTGAAGCAGCACTGTGAGACTCATGGGCAAAAGCACATGTATACAGTGATCTGCGTCCAAAAAGCTGGGTGGAGGTAAGCAAGAGTGGACGGGAGACAAAATTTTATTTTACAGTTTTGACTCCATCTTCCAAGGGCTCAATTAGATTGGTCCAGGATGAGTATACCTGATTTGAGCTGGGTAAATCTAAATATCCCACCCTCACCCTGGCAAAAAGTCCTGGCCAGACTGCTATTCTAGGGATTTTTCTGAGCTGAAACCAGCAAATAAAGTCTATCTCTTTCTGGTGGTAGAAGCTGTGAGGGGTGAAACTGGGAGCCACAAAGCAGCCATGATTCTTGCCACGTGGAGAAAAGTGAAAAGGCATGCAGAAAAAGAAATACCTCTGAATAGTTTCAGGATAAAGCTACAAAATACAAAAAGGTCTTACTGGATCAGTCTAAAATATCAAACCTTTACCAGGAAGAGAGAAAGTGTTATGTTAGCATTAATGTTACTAACCTTGTTTGTTCTTGGGTTCAACATGAGTGGCTTGCCTTTCTCTTTTATGTGCAAATGACGACATGCCAGAGTACAAGGAGCCGTGACTACTCTGACCCGGGACAACATCTTTCCTTGAACCTGGGGAAAAAGAAGCAAATAAATGAGAAACTTTTTGTAGAACTGCATGCACATCAGGTATCAGTTTTCAAAAGCAAATATAGAAAGCCTAATTTTCCAACTGAAAAGGCTTTTTCAAAGCACATTTATGTTTCTACAGGTTGCAAGGGTTGTAAAGAGTAATATGAGTTGGGTGAAGACAAAGACGGACAACACTCTTAAGTCCCTGGTTACTAATCACTGCTATTTTGTATATACCATATACTAAAGTGTGTACTAAACACTTATTCTTTTTCTAATCCACCTAAGTGTAGCAGGTATGTATCTCCCATTTGTGAGAGAAAGAAATTGAGAGATTAAGAAACAAGGTAACACCTAGTAAACATGAGTTCCAAGTAAATGGGTGTGGAAGTTTAGGCTATAGGTGGAAAAGTTAAGTAACAGGAAAGCCTGGAACATAAACATTCAGAGGAAAACAAGCTATTCAAATTCTTCACCTAGGGGCACCTGGGTGGCTCTGTCATCAGCTCAGGTCATGATCTCGCAGTTTGTGAGTTCGAGCCTCACCTCAGAGCCTGAAGTCTGCTTTGGATTCTGTGTCTCCCTCTTTCACTGCCCCTCCCCTGCTTACACACACACACACACACACACTCTCTCTCTCTCTCTCTCTCTCTCTCAAAAATAAACATTAAAAAAATTTAAAAACCAAGTTCTTAACCTAGATGTAGAATTTTAATGTACTAATATAGTCAGCGTTTATATATTATGTGTTCTCTATTATGTAATGTACTAAATATTTTATTTTCAAAAAACCTGTTACTTAACATTGAAAAACATGCACATTGGCTAGATTTTTATGTTTTTACCCTTTCCTGTCCATCACAAATATATGGGAATTTTTCAAAATGAAAAAACTCTGTATATTAAATAGTAAATGATAGGAATATAACAGATTCTTCTGTATATCAATTCTCCTACAAAAAAAATCAATCTGCAATGTCCATTTATCTTAATCATTACAACTTATTGCAATGATCTTACAGTAAGTTTTTAGTGGAATGTATAGTTTTTGAGAAATCAAGGGGGATGCAGCAAATTATTTTCATTGGGATTATTTTTTAAGTGAAGTGAAATTCACATAACAAAACTTGCCATTTTAAAGTAAGCAATTCAGAGGGATTTAGAAAAGCCATAGTGTAGTGCAACCCCACCTCCATCTAGTTCCAAAATATCCATCACTATCCCAGCAGGAAACACTGTACCCATTAAGCAGCTTTCCCCCTCCCCCAATGCCCGCAACCACCAATCTGCTTACCGTCTTTATGGATTTACCTATTCTGGTTATTTCACATAAATGTAGTGCATAAGTATGGCCACAAAAACAAGAAGTCTATATGACTATACGAACATCAACAATTGTGAGAAACGGGGGGGGGGGGAGAATAGGACAGATGTTTAAAGGTACAAACTTTCAGTGAGAGTCTTAGAGATAATAATTCCTAGAGATCTGATACATAATACAGTGAGTGTAGACAACAACACTGTATTATGATCATTAAACGCCCTAAAGACTAGATCTTGTTTCAACCACCAAAAAGAAGTAACATTAGAAATAATAATTATCAATACAAGAGCAATCATATATCTATAAATCATATAAATATATCTAATCAACATGTTGTACATTAACTTTATGCAGTGCGTTATGTCCAATATACTTCAATAATGACAGTAATAAAGAATTACAAGAGATATACAACAAAATAATTGGGCCACTTTAAAAAGTTAATGTCCTAAAAGAAAAACACTAAGGAACTACTACAATTTAAAGACTAAACATATGACAACTAAATGCAAAACCTGAATTTAAAAAAATGCTATAAAGGACAGTTACTGGGACAACAAGTGGCAAAACCAGAACACACACCATAGCTTACATAAAAGCTTTGTAAAATTTCAAGTTTCCCGAATTTGATAACCATATGGAAGAGACACCCTTGTTTTGAAAATACACAGTGAACTACTAAGGGCCCGAGAAGTATGATGTATGCAACCAAAGTCCTTCAAGTTATTTCAAAACAAATTTTAAGAAGACAGAAATTGAAATGGTAGCACTGGTCCAGGAGAGATAGCATTCTGTGTCACAATTAAAACTTTGGTACCAAAAGATTGTATTAGTATTGCAGTGTATTGGTGAGGTAGGCAAATCTAAAATAGTAGGGAATACTTTTTACTTTAAATCAAAGAAAATCGGGGGCGGGGGGTAAGCATTTTGTAATCAGCACATGTATAATAAGAAATGTATTTGCTTTTTGGCCCTAGTTTCTGGCACAGAGATCCTAAAAATCTTTGGAATGATGGGAGGATATTTTATTCAGAAGAAGCCACCCATTTTGAGGTGACCCAGAGTGGATGACTACAAAGGCCTGGGGTAGAGCCGGTCACCAGAAACACCAAGCGATGAGAGAGCAGGAACTTCCAGCCCCTCTGGAGCCTCCATAAAGGGGAAGTGGACAGGGGCTAGAGACTCCGTATCAAGGAGATGTGCCAAGCTTTCAGGCTGGCGAACACACCTAGATACTAGGGGTTGGCGCGCTCAGGGTGGGCAAGGAAGCTCCCCGTCCTCCCCCAAGTCCCATCAAAACCCAGTTCTCTGGATCTCTTCCATCTGTTCTTGAGTTGCATCCTTCTATAATAAACCAGTAAAGACAAGCAAGTAAAGTCTCTCTTTGAGTTCAGTGTGCCATTACAGCAAATCATACAATTTGAGGAGGGGTTTGCGGAAAGCCTCAATTTATAGGTCAGAAGTATAGGTCACAACCTGATCTTGCAATTGGCATCTGAAGTAGGGGCAGTCTTTGGGGACTGAACCCTTAACCTGTGGGATGTGAAGCTATCTTCATAATGGACAGTGTCAGCATCAAGTTACATGAAAGCACACCCAATCCACATCTGCTGAGAACTAGCAAATTGCTGAGTATGCGGGGAGGAAAAAAATCCCACGTTTGGTGGCCAGAAGAATTGAGTCTGCTAGCAAGAGAATTCATTTTTTCTTTTAGAAGAGAAGATCAGCACTCTATACAAGAAAACTATTTCCAACTCTGGGTTAAAGTTTTGCTATCAAATACTGAATTTAGCCTGTTTAATAAAGATAATACCACCTGTCAAATCTACCTTATAGATAATTATGATGATCAAATGAGAGAATACATACAAAAATATATAGATGTTATATCACTTAAATTACTTTATTAATAAGTGATAGTAAAATAAAATATAAAAGTAATTTTAACAGTGTCTTTAAAACAGTAGACATGTGGGGCACCTGGGTGGCTCAGTTGGTAAAACAGTAGGCATGAGTAAAAAACAAGCAAAGAAACTTAAGGAAAAAAAATATTCTGCCAGAATTAGAACCAAGGACTATGGGACAGGTAGCCTTACTATCAACTGGGGAGGCAACAAGATAAAATGTTACATTATTGCAGATAAGACAGAAAGAGAGTGAAGTAAAAACAAGAACCAAAAGGCAGGGCTTCTAATTTTTAATCCACATGGAAAATCAAGCTGCCTGCTTACGTGTGAGTTTCTGGGATACCGAGCTATGCCTGGGGTTTCTCCCCTGGTGTGTCATTCACACGGCCTTGCCCTGGAACTTACTCTCCAGTGTTTACAAACTGGGCCGGGACAGAAACTGCCAGGCCACTGGCTTCTGGAGACTACTCACCTTAGCCTCCTACTTGGGGTCAAAGGAGGTCAATGCAAAGGAGCCTGAAATTAGATCGAGGTCATGGCTGGGGGCAACGAGTACAAGTTCTGCAGTCAGACCGGAGTCTGAATCTGGACTCGACTCATCACCACTTTGGAATCAGTGGTATTACCCAGGCATTCCCAAATGGTCTCTGAATTGGTGTTCGTCTGTGACACATTTTTCACAGGTCTGTGGCCAAATGGGAAACATTGGGACGATGCAATATAGTCTTTCATAAAACAAAACTTATGGTCTTTGTTTTTGTGTCCTAGTTATGATCTTCGTATGTTTTTGATGATAAAAAAAAATTTCCTTTCTTTTATGAAAAGATGGGCACGGTAGATTGCAGTCGTGTTTTTTTTTTTTTTTTTTTTTATTTCTAGGAGAGAGAGAGAGACAGCGTGAGCAGGGGAGGGTCAGAGAGAGAGGGAGTCACAGACTCAGAAACGGGCTCCAGGCTCTGAGCTAGCAGCCAGCACAGAGCCCGACGCAGGGCTCGAACCCACGAACCGCAAGATCATGACCCAAGCGAAAGTCGGACGCTCAACCGACTAAGCCACCCAGGCGTCACGATTGCAGTCGTTTTTTAAAAGATCCTTAACCCTGACAGAATTAAAAGTTGGCAGTCTATGTTTGCTCCCAACGGTTCCCCTGTGCATGCTTGCCATGGAGTCCCAAAGTCTGGGAACCAGTGCCTTAGAAGTCTTACTTCTCCCATCAATGAACTAGGGAAGGGCAAACTCTATTGTGCAGAGCTGTGTATAGTAATGATGGTATTTATAAAGTAGCAAGCAATTAGAGTTTTATCGTCATCATTAAGAGCTTGACTACTTGGCGTGAAAGTTTATTCAATAAAATCCATATCCGGGCAGGTTAGCTGAGTAGTCAAAGGCAGCTTGGGGCTCAAACTGCCGGATTTAAGACCAGCTCTGTGATTCTGAGTAAGTGTGTTGCAGTCTTCTCATAGCTTGAATGGGGATGATGAACAACAGGACCTACTCAACAGGGCCATTTTAAGATTTAAATTAGATAATTCAAGTAAGATGCTTATCACAGTGCCCTCTAAGTGCTCCATAAATGTTAGTTATCCAAGCACTATCAGTAGTAGTAAGAGACGAAGGCGGTCAGAAGGTGCTTCCTGGATGCCTGTTAGATTCTGCGTCAACATCTTCTGGTGTGGAATCCTTATTAAGAGGCTGGAAGATTAATCACGGTTAGCATTTATTGATACCCTTTCAAATTAAATATCTAGGTCAGTAATGAAAATGTGGACGGCATTCAAGCCCAGGCAACATCAAATGTCATCCTAAACAGCATCTACAGAATCAATATTGTATTTTTCATTACTTTTGAAATTTGTACATATTGATCAAAGGAAATATAATATTCAGCCATATAATCAAAATGGTGACTTAAATATAAAAGTTAACTTTAATAAAATAGGTTTTTAGAAAATCCTAATGTGGAGTGATTTTGATATTTAGTTTGAATTATGAATCTTTATACAGTTTAAAATAGCTTTATTTTTATAGGAAATTAAATACAGGTTACAGTATTATGGAAATTAATTTACAAAAGAAATTCTCAAATGGTAAATGAGTTTTTCTTTTAAAAAATTTTTAATGTGTTTTCATAACAAATGTATAAAAGAAAACACATTACACATAAACACCTTCTAAGGGAGAATTCTATAAGCACTTCTTTCTCAGGAGTAACTATTGAACAAGAGTATATTTGTCAAGAAAATGAAGAACTTCTAAAAAGCATAACCCAATATTTCCTATTAACATATGATAAAGGTTATAGCAGTATATCTGGCCATTATGCCTAACTTCTCATTAAGTCCTTATAACTACCATAAAAGAGTCATATACAGATTACAAATCAGAGTTCAAACCTAATTAAAGGTTCAACATTTGAAGACCAGAGTTAAACTGTTTTGTCTGTATTTCTGCAAACCATGTAACATAATAACATGCAACTCAATTAATTTCAGTAATTTCAGTAAATAACAATAGATTATATACTTATCTATATTTTGTAAAAGCTACTATAATTAGTGTGTGTGTATAAATATACATACACTCATAAATACAAGGGCAGGGGATGAGGAGTAAATGTGGGCACCATTTCTTCGCTAACTTCCAGAATGCCTGGAAACTAAAGAATAAATTCATGAGTGAAGATTAAAATTCATGAGTACAACTTTGCAACTAGCTCAACAACATGAACAATGCTTAAAGCATACACGACAGAGTTAAGAGGGCGCTGGAGCTGTTATGCTAAATCGCCTGATTCTGCTTGAGTTCAAGTCCAGGCTTTGCTACCTAAAACCTGTGATCCTTTACAAACTACTTAAACTTCTTAAGCCTGGGTTTATTCATTTGTAAAGTGGCAATAACAGTACCAACTTCAAAGTTATTTTGAAATGATTCATGTAGAGAGAGTAGTGTCCAGACCATAAGTGACAATCAATAGTGCTTCTATAGCTACCAATAGCAACACTAAAAGAAACAACAGTGCTATTAACTATTTTCCCAGAAGTGGCTGCCACAAGCATTAGGAAAGACAATCAGACAGGAGATAACACTATGTTTTGTAAGGAAGCACTACTGTTAAGATGTATTACTTTGAAGAAAAAAAACGTATTATTTTGATTATGCTTCCCACTAAAAGGCAACACGTTTTCTGGAATTATTTGCATAAGAAAGTCAATTTCAGGATGGAAAATCGAACACCACCACACAAGCAGAGGTGCTTGTCACCAGCGTCAAAGAAAAACCTGCCAATCTTGGTCTACTTATGCCATTTCAGCTGAACGGACAGAACTGTTTCAATCTTAGAACTTACTAGTTTGTAACAAACTTCCTTTAAAGCCAAGAACGAACGCATCACACTCACACTCTCTCTCTCTCTCTCTCTCTCTCACACACACACACACACACACACACACACAGCCTAACTCCTTTCATCTCTGCAGAAAGACTTGATAATAGGTGTCTAGCCACAAAATCGGTCTTCAAAGGACGCGGGAGGGAGCGATGCTCGGGTTCTGGAGGCCACAGGATCTCACTCCGGGGCGGGAAGGAGGCCGCCCTGGGACCAGCGAACCTGGAAACGAGGAAGTCGCGCCCCAAAACCGTGTCCGGAGAAGAGCTGCGGACGCTGGAACTCGGGACCGCCGCAACCTGACCACTCCCCCGCCCTCAGCCCCCGCTCCGGGCACCCCTTCCCTTCGCCTCGCCCCGCCCATCCGCTAAGCGGGTCGGCGCCGGCCGCACCCGCGGAAGCCGGCCGCGGGTCCGCAATCGGCTTCGCGGGCGGGGCGGGAGGAGGCCGGCGCCCGCTGCCCTCGCGAAGCTCCCGCCCTGGCCCCGCAGTGCCAAGCAGCCCGCGACCGTGCGCCACGCGGAGCCTCACCCGAAGTCCCCGCGACAGGTGGTGCTGCCGGCGGAGAGGCCGCGGCCCTGCCGCCCAGCCAGGCGATGCTCAGCTGCGGGCGAGTCCGGCCCTCCCCTCCGCCTTGCTCTGCGGAGCAGGAGCTGGCTCAGGCTCGCACTGGCCTGAGCGGCCAACAGCCGGCGAGGCAGCCAGTAAGGCGGCGTAGTGAGCAGGGGAGCCGGGAGGC